GACTTCGACTACGTTCTGCTCGATTTTGTTGTATTTTATTCTGCTCTAATGCGTTCTGTTCTGTTCTGTACGGCGTGACGCCGTGACGCCTGTGACGTCAGATACGTCATCCAGTCGGTCGTTGCTGCGCCTCTTTGTTCCCGTGGCTAGACTGACATTGGAGCGCACGTCGCGTTTGATAGGGCGGCGGTAAGCGGTCGCTGATGTTCCTCTTCTACCACGCTCATTTTGATTCGAGTGTGGATTATAATATATATATATAGATATGTATTGTATTACGATGCGGTTTGCTAGGTTCATTTATGTCAGGCACTCTTTCCTGCTATGTTGTGTTACGCTCATTTTTAACTACATGTCCTACTCGTCAACAGTTCCATGTAATGCTATGTGACATTTCACGTATTACTATGTTCCGGCATGTTCGTTTGTGTTCTCGTTTAGTCTCTCCCTTTCTGTTCCAACCATGGTGCTCTATGATCTTCGGGCAGTGTATTCATATTTTCATTATTGCTGGCTGTTCAGCTGTGGTGATTTTGGAATATCATGACGATTTTGCAATCCCAGTATGATATGTTTTACACGCGCATTCAATTTCCATGACATTGCAGCCTGCGACATGAACGCTGTCTGATGCTTGCTAGTACCGAACCATCCTGTGGTGTTGGGTCCTCGTTGTGAAGAGGCAGCGCTCCGAGTCTCCTTCCTTCCTTCCTTCCTTTCCTCCCGCTGCCCTCCCTCCTCCCATCCCTGCCCTTGCCCTCTGCATGTTTTTGTTTCGGCACACCCCTCACACGTTTCGTGGCCCAACAGGGAGCCCCACCGAAGGTCCCAGTGGGGCAGCCCATAGGGAGCTCCACCGAAGGTCCCACTGGCACAGTCTGCATGCGTCCGCTCCACCCATGTCGGCACACCCCTCACACGTTTCGTGGCCCCGCATGGAGCTCCACCGAAGGTCCCAGTGGCGCAGCCCGCATGCGTCCGCCTCACTGCTGTCGGCACACCCCTCACACGTTTCGTGGCCCCATAGGGAGCTCCACCGAAGGTTCCAGTGGCGCAGCCCGCATGCGTCCGCCTGTCCCATTTCAGCACCCCCTCACACGTTTCGTGGCCCCGTAGGCAGCTCCACCGAAGGTCCTTGTGGCGCAGCCCGCATGCGTCCGCTCCACCCGTTTCAGCACCCCCTCACACGTTTCGTGGCCCCATAGGGAGCTCCACCGAAGGTCCTTGTGGCGCAGCCCGCTTGCGTCCGCTCCACCCGTTTCGGCACACCCCTTATATGGTGCGTGGCCCCACAGGGAGCTCCACCGAAGGCCCCACTGGCGCAGTCCGCATGCGTCCGCCCCGCGCATATCGGCACACCCCTCAAACGTTTCGTGGCCGCATTGGGAGCTCCACCAAAGGTCCGAGTGTCGCAGCCCGCATGCGTCAGCCCCACAGGTTTCGGCACACCCCTCACACGCTTCGTGGTCTCAAAGGGAGCTCCACCGAAGGTTCCAGTGGCGCAGTCTGCATGCTTCCGCCCACCCATCTCGGCACACCCCTTTCATGTTTCGTGGTTCCGCAAGGGGCTTTCCCGAAGACCCCAGTGGCAATGTTCGCATGCGGCTGCCCCACCCATTCCGGCACACCTCTCACGCGTTTCGTGGCCCCATAGGGAGCTCCACCGAAGGCCATAGCGGCCACGTTCGCAAGCGGCAGCCCCATTCAATTCGGCACAGCCATCACGCGCTTCGTGGCCCCATGGGAGCTCCACCGAAGGCGATACTCACAACGACGGTATTCGCAACAGCATATGTTTGGGCCCTCCGCCAGGCTAGTTGTGTTCTTATCATTTGCTTACGATGCTATTGCCAGGCCAAGTTCATTTTCAAAACCCTAAATAACATACGATATTTTTATGCATTACTCTCTGTTCTGCTTTGCGTTCGCACTTCTGAATGTTTACTACATGATGCCATGCTCTGTTATGTTATGATATCCTTCTCTAGTTCTGCATCAATCAAATGGCCTTGTTTTGGAGTTCATGCCGTGGTGGTAGGACGCATCTCCGATCGATCGTAGATCAGAAAATGGAGATCACCCCAGGACTCATCTCCGTCTCCGATCGCTCGGAGATCGGAGATCGGCGATCCCCCCAGGACTCATCTCGGATCGATCGGAGATCGGAGAACGGAGATCACCCTAGGATTCATCTCCGATCGATCGGAGATCGGAGATCGGAGACACCTCCAGCTCTAACCTCCGATCGCTCGGAGATCGGAGATTGGCGATCCCCCTGGGACTCATCTCCGATCGATTGGAGATCGGAGATCGGAGATCACCCCAGGACTCATATCGGGGATCGGAGATTGGCGATCCCCCCAGGACTCATATCCGATCTCTAGTCGCCCTGAGATGAGTCTACGGGGGATCCTGATCTCCGACCACCGGCCGATCGGAGAGGAGTCCAGAGGGGATCTCCGGTTTCCGATCTCCGAACGACCGGAGATGAGTCCGGGGGGCTTCGATCTCCGATCTCCGATCGACCGCAAGAATCCCCAGAAGTCTGTTATGGCCAGGGGCGGCTGCAGCCGAAGTGGGTGGTACGTTGGGGATAGTATTCCAAGAAGGCCGCGCGCCCCGAAGGGGTCGCAAGTTTCTGAGAGGGCTTCTTGGAGGGCGGGAGGATTTCTAAGGAGGTATGGCGCGCTATGGGCATTTCCTCGAAGCTGGTGCTATTTGGAACGGCGATGCTACATGATGTTCCCCCCCCCGAGATTAGGAACGTCCGAGCTTCGACTGTGGGCGACCTCGTACCGGCAGGGTCCGATCGGGTGCCGCCGCCAGGCATTTGTGTATCGTTAGGTGCATAAACATATACCTGTGTGTATATATATATATATATAGATGTGTGTAGAAATCGTAGTATATAGGAAGATGTTTTTGCCTATATGTATGCATGCATGCATGCATGCATGCACGTACCGTATGCATGTATGTATACATGTATGTATGCATGCATGCATGCGTGTATGCATGTATGCATGTATATTTGCATGCATGCATGTATGGTATGGTATGGTATGGTATGGTATGGTATGTATGCATGCATGCATGCATGCATACATTTATGTATGTGTGTACATGCATGCATGCATGCTTGTCTGTCTGCCTGGCTGTCTGTCGGTCTGTCTGTTTGTCAATATGTATGTATGCATGTATGCATGTATGCACGTATGCATGCATGCATGCATGCATGCATGCATGCATGCACGTATGCATGTATGAATGCATGCATGCATGCATGTTTGTCTGTCTGTCTGTATGCATGCATGTGCGTATGTCTGTATGTATGCACGCATGCATGTATGTATGCCTGTATGCATGCATGCATGCATGTATATTTGTTGGTTTGTATGTATGTATGTGTGTGTATGTGTGTACATGTACGTATGTATGTATGTATGCATGCATGTATGTCTGTGTGTGTATGTATGTATGTATTCCTGTGTTTATGCATGTACTTATGTATGTATGTATTTATTTATGTATGTATGTATGCATGCATGCATACATGCATGCATGCATGTATGTATATATGTATACATATATATATACATATATATATACCCGTGTATGCATGTATGCATGCATGCATATATGTATGTATGCATGTATGCATGTAATGTATGTATGTATGTGTGTATGTATGCATGTATGTATGTATGCATATGTGTGTGTGTGTGTACGTATGCATGCATGCACGCATGGATGCACGCATGTATGTATGTATGTATGTATGTATGTATGTATGTATGTATGTATGTATGTATGTATGCATTTACTTTATGCATGCATGCATGTATGTATGTATGTATGTATGTATGCATGCATGCATGTATGTATGTATGTATGTATGTATGTATGTATGTATGTATGTATGTATGTATATCGGTATGTATGTATGCATGTATGCATTATATATATGTATGTATGTATGCATTCATGCATGTATGCATGCATGTACATATATATGCAGGTATGCCTGTCTGTATGTATGTATGTATATATTTTTGTATGTTTATATGTTTGTATGTATGTATATATGCATGCATGTATGTATGTATATATGTATGTACGGATGTATGCTTGTGCGTGTATAAGTGTATGTATGCATGCATGCATGCATGAGCGCACGTGCTAATATATACATATATACATATATATACACATTTTGAGCCAGCTATACACGCTAGGAAGTGCGAGCATTGTTGTGCAAGCTCTGTGATGCACCCTTGGTGGTGTCAGATCTGTGGTGCACGGGGCGCCCACGCGGCCACGGGGCGCCCACGAGGCGCCCACGGGCGGCCGCCAGCTGGGCACCTCCTCCTCCTCGCTCCTCTTTCTCCTCCTCGCTCCTCCTCGGTCCTCCTCGCTCCTCCTCGCTCCTCCTCGCTCCTCCTCGCTCCTCCTCGCTCCTCCTCCTCCTCCTCGTCCTCCTCGCTCCTCCTCGCTCCTCTTTCTCCTCCTCGCTCCTCCTCGCTTCTCCTCGCTCCTCCTCCTCCTCCTCGCTCCTCCTCCTCCTCCTCCTCCTCCTCCGGTGACCATACGTGAACCACCACCCCCACCCCCCACGATTTCTAAGGCGGGGTGGGGTTCACTTCGTTTGAGAGTTCTCGAGCGGAGTGAGCCCCCGCCCTCCCTTAGAAATCGTGGGTACATGTGGTCGCCTAACCCACCCAGCGCACGGGAGCGCCCACAAGGCGCACAAGGGCGGCCACCAGCTGGGCACCAGGCGAACGCCCGCTCTGTCCGTATGGTTACTTATTTCTTGACAGAGTACCCGTGAGTGCAAGCACTGCTGGGGAAGTATATAAACTTCTTCCTTTGGTTTCCGTCTTCCTGGGCCTTCTGGGGGGCCTGTGCCGCCACTGCTCGATTCGCCTCGGCATCCTGGTCCGATCGCATCCCGAGAGGGTTCTGGGGAGGAGCGGTGTTGGAATTCTTTTGTTTTCCCCCAGGCATGGAGCACAAGTTCTTCGGTGCCGCAAACCCCTGCCGGTGCTGGTGCTGCAAGCGGCCTGCAGATGGGAACGTGACCTCGGCGACGACCATGACAACGGCAACCACAACGATGTCCGTGTCGACGACCACGTCAGTGAGCGAAACGACAGTCTCCGTGAGCGAAACGACTGTCTCCGTGTCGACGACCACGACCATGAGCGACACAACGATCTCCGTGTCGACGACCACGACCGTGAGTGACACAACGGTCTCTACGTTCACAGTAATCTCTGTGACGACTCCGAGGCCCATAATGACGACGCTAGTATCTGCGACGACGAGGCCAGAGCCCAATTCTCTAGAAGCCGCCAAGCAGAACTGCTCGATGTACGACGGCATCACGCATTTCAATGCGGTCCTCCCTCCTCCCTCCTGCGTGGACGTAATTATCCATCCTTGCTTTTATCTTCCTGCTTCGTCATGATCATCCCAAACTCGGACCACCTGTTGTTCTTTTCTTCTTGCCTGTGCCTTTTTTCAACGTCTTCTCGAGGCTGGGCTTTCATGCTAGTGCGTGCCCCAGTAGATATATTGTTGGGCTGCCCAGCCCGTTCTAAGAAGAAGATCGTGGAAAGGAGGAGGAGGCGGCGGTGGCGGAGGCGGAAGAGGAGGAGGAGGAGCTGCAGAAGGATGGCGGGGACGACGACGACGACGACGGCGACGACGATGATGACGACCATGAGGATGGTGGTTGAGGTGATGATAATGCTGCTGCTGATGCTGCGGCCTCTGATGATGATGATGCTGATGAGGATGAGGATGCTGAGATGGTGATGGTGGTGATGATGGGGTTATTCTGATGTTGATGATGCTGCTGCTGATGATGCTCATGATGATGTTGACGATGCTGCTGATGATGTTGATGATGATGGTGATGCTGATGATTGTGATGATGATGATGATGATGATGATGATGGTGATGGTGATGATGATGATGATGATGATGGTGGTGGTGGTGGTGGTGGTGATGCTGATGATGACGGTAGTGGTGGTGGTCGCGATGATGCTGATGTTGAGCATGCTGCCGATGACTATGCCGATGACAATGCCGACGACGACGATGATGATGATGCTGACGATGATGATGATGATGATGATGATGATGATGATGATGATGATGATGATGATGATGATGATGATGGTGCTGACGACGATGATGGTGATGATGATGATGCTGATGATGCTGCTGCTGATGATTATGATCGTGACGGCGGTGGTGGTGGCGATGACTCTGATGATGACCATGATGATGATGATGATGATGATGATGATGATGATGATGATGATGATGCTGATGATGATGATGATGATGATGATGGTGATGGTGATGGTGATGGTGATGATGATGAGGATGAGGATGATGATTAGGAGGGGGAGGATGATGAGGAGGATGAGGATGAGGATGAGGATGAGGATGATGCTGCTGCTGATGATCATGATGCTGATGCTGATGATGATGACAATGCTGATGCTGATTCTGATGCTAATGCAGCTGATTCTTATGATAATGAGGATGCTGATGATGATAATGATGATTAACATTATGATGATGATGCTGATGCTGCTGCTGATGCTGCTGCTGATGATGATCATGATGCTGCTGCTGATGATGACAGCGACGCTGATGCTGAATCTGATGCTCATGCTGATGATGTTGCTGCTGCTGATGATGATGATGGAACTTATGATGATGATGATGAGCATGCTTAGGATGATTATGATGCTGATGACGATGCTGATGAGGATGATCATGATGCTGATGATGCTCATGCTGATGCTGCTGATGCTGCTGATGATGATGGTGCTGGTTATGATGATGATGATGATGATGATGATGATAGTGGTGGTGGTGATGATGATGATGATGACGAAAATAAAGACTAAGCATGATAATGAAGATAAGGGTATACACACACATAAGGCGAGAACTACTAATACTACAATGGTTATTCGTAATAATTAGTACACATACTATGCAACACTAAGACTACGCATGCTACTTATAAGCCAACTCGTAGCAACACTACTAATACTATCAATCATGATGATAGACGGCATCATGCTACTAATAAAATGAAGACGGGGATTTACCAGTAATCAGACAACTAATAAGCATACGAATACTTATACAAATCCCCATAGTATTAGTAATAAGAAGGAGATGAACATTACTACTAATCATCAGAGAAATAATACGAATACTACTAAGACGAACACGAAAACGAATACGATTCAGAATGATATGGATACTACTACTAATACTAACAATAATAGTAATGATAGTCATATTACTAATAAGAAGAATAAGCAGCAGGAGGAGGAGGAGGAGGAGGAGGAGGAGGAGGATAGGAAGGAGCATGAGCATCAGCAGGAGCAGGAGGAGGAGGAGGAGGAGGAGGTGGAGGCGGATGCGAATGGAGTAAATTGGAGGAGGGAGCTTGGGCTTCGATGTCGGAGCGCGCAGAGCGTGTTGGCTGGCCTGCCTGGCCCAGGGGCCAGAGATTTGGCTTGAACCTCGCAGGGCGCCCGCGCCCAGGTGTCGTCACGGAGGAGGGTCATCGCGTCACTCGCGGGGAGGGGGGGTGGAAAAGAGAGGAGGGGAAGGGGAAGGGGAAGGGGGAGGGGAAGGGGCAGGGGAAGGGGGAGGGGAAGGGGAAGGGGGGAAGGGGAAGGGGAAGGGGGGATGAGGATGATGATGAGGAGGAGGAGGAGGTGGAGGAGTGTCGGAAGGGAGCTAGGAGGAGACCAGTTCAGCAGCGGGCAGGTTCAACATGTACCTGTTCCACAGAGTTGGTTCAGCAGAGGTTGGTTGAGCAGCGACTTGTTTCAGCAGAGAGCAGTTCAGGGTAGACCTGCGTGGCGGCCAATATTTTGCGGTGAGCCTTGGCCACTAGGGCGCCCCAGGAAGCCCAAAGAGGGTCAACAACGTCTTAACATCTTGCTTCTTATTTCCTTGCTTCCGTGCCCTCAGTCGATGCCAGGTCACGTGCTGCCACAAAGACTGCGGCGATCACTGTGGCGCCACCGACTGCGCAGACTACGGCAAGGACAGGTGCTGTGCCGGAAGCATTCCCAACAGCCATGCCTGCAGCGACACACAGAAGGCTGGCGCTGCGCTGGAGAGGGGGGTGGACCAGCAGCAGCAGCAGCAGCAGCAATAGCAGCAGTAGCAGCGGCAGCAGAGGCGGTTGGTGGCGCGTAATCCAGACCCCCAATACGGAGCTTCACCGTTGGCCCCAGTGGCAGGGTCCACATGCGTCCGCCCAGCCATGCCGGCACACCCCTCGCACCTTTCGTGGCCCCATAGGGAGCTTAACCGAAGGCGCCAGTGGGAGGGTGCACATGCGTCCGCCCGATCCATTTCGGCACACCCCTCACACGTTTCGTGGCCCCATAGAGTGAGCTCTACCGAAGGGCCCAGTGGGAGGTTCCACATGCGCCCGCCCGACACATCTCGGCATACCCCTCACACGTTTCGTGGCCCGGTAGGGAGCTCCACCGAAGGCCCCAGTGGGAGGGTCCACATGCGCCCGCCCGACCCATTTCGGCACACCTCTCACACGTTTCGTGGCCCCATAGAGGGAGCTCCACCGAAGACGGCTTTTCCTACATGTGCGTTACACAAACGCATATGGTTGGGTCATTCACAAGGATAATTAATGTTTTCTGCCGTTTTTGATTCGTTGTGGGCCTGCAGAGGAGGGCACAAATCAGGGCAGACTGTCAGCAAGGACTGTGTGGCCAGGCCTAGTTAGTTCCAGAACGCTTCGTCCGATCCCGTCAGCGTCAATGCTAACACGACTGGCCGACCTCCGCTTGGGCACCAACAGTGGAGGCTGCGGCTGGTCTTTGGAAGCAGATCATGCTTCGTGCCCACCCCCCCGCCCCTCACTGCAGTGTGTCTCGCCCATCCCAAGAGGCCCCGTGCACCATGCTGTTCGCGCTCGACGCCGTCCGCGTCGAGCGCTTGGCTACGCCGTCTTCCACGACCGCGCAGGACGACCGAGACCTGGGCTTCGCACACAAACCTGCGCCTCTCTCTCTCTCACGCCCGTTTTTTCTCTCGAAGAGCAAGAAGAACACATGATGAACACGAGTACTACGAGTGTGAAGAACACTATTTTACAGACTACGACTACTATTCAGATGTTACGAAAACCAATGGGGCGAATCATATCACGGGTTCAAGCCATATTCATATTATTACCAATACTATTAGAACACCACTACTAATGATACCTACTAATAAGCATACGACGGCTACCATTACGATTGCTACGCGTAGTGGTAGTACCATTCGGCATTAAACGAACAAACTCAGTGGTAAGACGAGTATCCGTACACGTTGGAATAATGTGAACACGTAGTTCGATATTCATGCCAACGCTAGTACCTCATTCGTCACGTTTCGCGTACCCCCACCAGCCTATTCAGACACGTTGCCCATGAGAGCTGACGGGGCACGGGAGGAACAGACACATATAGTGACAAGAACCGGGCCACCATGATGAGCAGAGCGATCTCTTGGAGCATGGGGGTGGCCTTAGAAGGCCTCTTCGGCCATCCCAGGGGCCCGCGGGGAGGGTTGAGGGGAGGAGGAGGAGGAGGACGAGGAGGAGGAGGATAATGAGGAGGAGGAGGAGGAGGAGGAGGAGGAGAAGGAGGAGGAGCAGGAGAAGGAGGAGGAGGATGAGGAGCAATAATGATTACAGTTACAGGACTATAATTTTATTAGTGCCAACAGTAAGGTTAATACTACTAAGAACGCCAAACATAATAATGCCACTAAGAATAATGCTACGAATAATCACATCATACTCTTACGACGAATAATAATGATACGCCTAATAATGCGACTACTATTGATTATATATTATTCATACTACTAAGAATGATCATAAAGAAAGAAAGACATAAAACATAATTATCATAACAGAAAGAAAGAATAATAAAGAAATAAACATAATGAATACCAGCGGCAGTCCGAAAGAAAGAAAGAATAATGACCGTAAACAATAATAGTAAGATGAATACCAGTAACACTAACACCCATAATACTAAGGATTTGTATTACTAATCATAATAATCACAAGAAGAAGAAGAGGAGGAGGATGAGGAGGAGGAGGAGGAGGAGGAGGAGGAGGAGGAGGAGGCAAACCGTCTCTGGGGGCTCTCGTGGGACGCTCCTGGGCGCTCTTGTGGCTGTCTTTGGGCCGTCTTGAGGCCCTCTTGGAGCTCTCTTGGGGCACTCTTGGTCTCGTGGGAGCCCTGGAGGGCCTTTAGATGCCATCTTGGAGGCTATCGATCAAAGAAGGGGGGTCCCCGAATTGCCTTCCCCTTCAAGGGCCCTCAAATTCGCTTTTGGGGGCCCTCTTGGGGCGCCCCAAAGCGATCTTGGGGCCGTCTGGGGGGCCTCTTGGGCCCCTCGTGGGCTCTCTTGGGCTATCGTGGGGCCATCGTGAGGCTTCAAAACACATCGGAAATGAAGGACTTTGGCTTTTTGGCGGGTCCTGAGGGGACTTCGAGAGCACATGGGGCCGTCTTGGAGCCGTCCTTGCGGCCTCTTGGAACATCTTGGAAGCCATCTTGAGCCATCTTCGGCTAGCTTGGGCCATCTTGGAGGCCAGCTTGGAGCGTTGGAGGCCTTCCTGAGGCCACCTTGAGCCATCTTGAACGCTCTAACCCCTCGGGCCCCCTCCCAAAAAACCTTCGGGAGGGGAGGGGGAGGGTACCCCTCTTCGACGGGCAGAGGATTTTGGAAGAGGAAAGAAAGACATCGTGAAACCAACGGCGCCCAGAGGACTGGTGGCATTTCATAAGCATAGGCTTCTGGAGGTCCGAGCGAATTTTTGGAATGGCGTATGACATACCTGGCGGCTAATTCAGCGCCCCCCCCCTCTGAAACGCTCCGCGCATCACGGAGGGGGGCCAGCGCCCTGGCCGAAGAAGTCCGCGCTGACCTTCGTCAATGCTTGCGCTTAGGGCTTCTTACTTCGGTCATACGGGAATTGGAAGGGTCTGGCGAGGTTTCGCCACGTTGCCGCCCGTTGCCGCCTCGCTGCCGCCTCGTGCGCTGGGTGGGTCTTGATGTTTCGCCACGTTGCCGCCCGTTGCCGCTTCGTTTCCGTCTCGTGCGCTGGGTGGGTTCGGCGAGGTTTTGACACGTTGCCGCCTGGCGACGCTTCGTTGCCGCCTCGTGCGCTGGGTGGGTTCTGCGAGGTTTCGCCACGTTGCTTTCCGCTGTCGCCTCTAGCTTGCACCACGTATATTGCACTGCACAGCTTGCAACAGGCAGTTTGCACCACGTAGCTTTCACATCCACAGTGCAACAACTTTCGGTTCGGGGTTTACGCTGGTTAGGCTTTAGTGTTCTAGAAGAATCCCGCGGCGCGTTGTTTGTGAGAAACGTGATTCGATGACTAGGAGCCTGTTCAGGCTGGGCTCGTTCGCTAGAGGGCAGTCTTTGTGCCCGCTAGACTCCTCATCTTGATTTGGGGTCTGGCAGGGGGGAATTGCGGCTCGAGTCATGCTTGCTCGGCTGGGCCTATGTTTGCCTCAGGCGGGGTCGGGGCCTCCCAGGGGCCGGCGTCACGGGTGGCGGTATTTCTTTCGCCGAGAACACTTCTCGGCGCGACGCGTACCTTTTCATTCAGCAGCTCTTCAGGGTTATTGGGGTGCCAGTACTATTTCACACAACGCTGTTTTTCGGCATGCCTTCGACGTGCCCAGCGGACAACAAGTGCGTACTCACATCGGTGCCGGATGCGAGGGCGTCGCGGTGGGCGTCGAATTTTCGGGGGGAGAGGCGAGCAGGAGTGGGAACGAGTTTGAAGGAAGGTGGTGCCCAGGGATCGGGATTGATGAGTTGAGTGAAAGGGGAGCTGAACGAGGAGGAGCGGAGAGTAGGGCTGCGGATTGAAGAGGAGTGCGGAGGATTGTCAGGAGGGAAAGCAAAACACACGCACAAATAAACGTCGATTCCTAGGAATGTGATCGTTTTCTTATTTAATCGCTTCGCTCATTCCGCCGGCACGTATTGGTGCACGGCTGTCGAGTGCCCGTGTGATCGTTGTCAATGGGGTGCTGCTGGGTCGTTTTTTTGTTTATGGATGACTGGCTTTGGGTGATTTCGCAGGCGGGAACCATTCTTTGCCCGCCTGAACCTTCTGTTTCGGAAGGTGGCGGCTCGTGAATACGATCGCAGGGAACAAGACAACATTCTGCAGTTTCCTTTTTGCATTCTTCGGGCCCCTTGTCGCTTGTTGGGGCCTCTTAGGAGCCTCTTGGGGCGTCCAGGAGGCCTCGTGGAGCGGAAGGCTCGGATTCTCGGTTCGTGGTCTCCATGTTGGGCCTCTCTTGGGGCCCTCCTGGGGTCCTTTTGGAACATCTTGGGCGCCTCTTGGCTTGTCGTGGGGCTCTCTTGGACGGTCGTGGGCCTCTCTTGGAGGCCTCTTGGGCCGTCTTGGGGTGGTCTTGGAAGCTTCTTGGGCCGTCTTGGAGCGTCGGAAAGGCGAAAAGGCGAGGAAGCCAAAAACCTTGAAAACCAAATGGAAATCAATGGTTTTGGCGCTCTGAGGCTTTGTGAACGTTCATTGGGATCTCGTTGGATGCCTCTCGAGGGCTTCTTGGAGACTCGGGAGTCATTGTCGAGCCTCTTGGGGTCTCTTTCGGGCCCCTTGTCGCCTTTTGGGGCCTCGTGGGGGCCTCTTGGAGCCTCCAGGAGGCCCCTTGGAGCGGAAGGCTCGGATTCTCGGTTCGTGGTCTCCATGTTGGGCCTCTCTTGGGGCCCTCTTGGGGTCCTCTTGGATCGTCTTGGGCGCCTCTTGGGCTGTCGTGGGGCCCTCTTGGGCGGTCTTGGGGCTCTCTTGGAGGCCTCTTGGGCCGTCTTGGGGTGGTCTTGGAGGCTTCTTGGGCCGTCTTGGAGCGTCGGAAAGGCGAAAAGGCGAGGAAGCCAAAAACCCTGAAAAACCAAATGGAAATCAATGATTTTGGCCTCTTGGGGCTCTCTTGGAAGGGGTCGGGGCTCTCTTGGGACGTCTTGGAAGCTTCTTGGGCCGTCTTGAGGCCGTTTTGGGCGTCTTGGGCCGATCGTTCGGTGATTCGGAAACTCTCTTGGACCGTCTTGGATTCTTGTTGGGGCCCTCTTGGAGCGCTCCGGGGAGCGTGGAAGGCCGCACCCAGGAGGAAAACCATCTCTGAACTGAGTTTGCCGGGAGTGTCCCGGGACCTTGCCGGGGTACTTTTCGCCCGGGGCCCCCCAGGGGCCGCCCCGCGCGCGCGAATTAGAAATATTGTTGAGTAGTTACCAGAGATCTTAGCACGCCTCTTAAGCAGAGGTCCGGAGCCAGACCCCCCGCCCCCCCCCTTTTCCGTCCACCGGAACGCCGAATAAGGAAACGCTCACAATGTGTGGGAGAACATGGGAAGGGGGAGGGACGACGAACATCCAGAAAGTATGGAAGAATGTGGGGGATCCTGGTATTCGTGTCTATCTTTTTGTGTGTCCCTGGGCCCCTTCTGAGTGGAGCGGGGAGGATTGGAGCGCTGTTAAGAGTGAGGAGGACCACGCCAGATATGCCAGCCACACATCGAGTCCGCAGGTAAGGGGGGCAAGTTGCTGAGACGTGGGGAGGAGAGCAGGGGCCAGGGCACGTTTCGACTCCTCCGATTCGATTCGACTTCGACTTCGGTGCTCTCCGATTCCGCTTCGATTGAACTTCGGCTTCCGATCCGGATTCCGATTTCTCAGTGGAGGCCTTGCTAGCCTGCCGGTTTCCGACGATTCGACTTCTCTCGACTCGGCTGCCGATTTCCGCTGGTTCATGCAGATCGCCGATCCGACTTAACGATTCGATTCTGCGCCATAGGAAGCGCTCTGAGACACCTACGTACTAGATGGCTGGTGAGCTTGTTGTAGTAGTTGCGCATTTTTCTACACAACTGCACCTGCTCTCCCGATCTTGTCTCCTTCCTGGAAACTCCGCAGGGAACCAACAT